GCACCATCCCAGGAAGTCAATCAGTTGCTTCGTCAGAGGCCCAGCCTGAGCACGGATTACAACCGCGACGCTGGACAGACAGGATCCGCAGGCCAGTGGGGCCACTGCAGCTGAACCCCCGGCTTCGAAGCTACGTCAACAAACTTCAAGGGGGAGATGTTAGGCAGGAATCCACACGGATCCCGCTATACCGCACGTCTTTAGGCGCGGCTATGGCCGATAAGCCTGGCTCACACGAGGTTGGCCCAGAATTCGGGACGCTTGCTGGTCCGGCATGAAGGCGAGATCTGATTGGTCAACAATCTGGACCCAACAGCCAATCATGACCTAGTATCGGCCAAATGCCGCCAATCAATGGCGCATCCAGAACGCGTCAGAACTTCCGTTCAGCAAGACACAACACTCGTAGTGTACAACGTGCGGATCTTCTTAGATCAGCTTTTGGCGCATCCAGAACGCGTCAGAACTTCCGTTCAGCAAGACACAACACTCGTAGTGTACAACGTGCGGATCTTCTTAACCTGATCAGCTTTCGTTGAGTTCTCCGAGATATTGCCCATTGGAATTAGATGCATGCTGCACTATAAGGTATTTGGCAGTTTTTAATTAGTTGGACGATTAACTGCGTTGATGTTGTACTCCTTCCATACGATTGTTTACTGCCTAGCGAGATGAAGCACAGCACTGTAAGGTATTTGGCAGTTTTTAATTAGTTGGCCGATTAACTGCGTTGATGTTCTACTCCTTCCATACGATTGTTTACTGCGCTGGCGAGATGAAGCACAGCACTACAAACCCATCGCTTGCATATGGATTCGACAATCTTTTGTACATCCCGTGATTGCCCCATTGCTCGGGTTTCTACGATCTTGCGTTCTCTGCCAGTTTCCAACAGGCGGACTCCTGGTGGAGGTAGCCAAAGACATATACCCTGTGAGTGAAGCGGGCGGATTTCAGCATCCTATTCCAAGGTTGACATAGTTCACGCTGCAGTGGAGCCGATTATAAAAATGCGGTTTAAGTTTAGATGACACAGTTCCGGATACCCGCATCTCGACACCTGTCATCAAGGCTCGAGTCTTACGTGAAGTACGCTCCCCATTCTATCCGCAAATCGTCTATTTACCCATGGACTGTTTTTATGTAAATATAAGACCAGTGCATGTTCGCAACATATCTTGTCACAGTTGTCCGTTCCCCCCCACACACACACAGACGTGGCACTGTCTGGTGCCTCGGGTGATTGAGGCAGCCAAATTGGACCCCAGTTGCGCAGTTGGCTTCTATTGCCGGTCTCGAGGAGATCTCAGCGACCTGTTGGAACGTCTACCGCAAACTATGTCAATCCGTACGGCAAAAAATTCGACAAGTCCAGTCATGGAAAGCCTCATTGAAATCAAGGATGAGGATGAATAATTTGCTATTTTATTCCTTCTGCCATGTCGTCTTTCACCAATATTCTGTCGTTCTTTTGCTAGTTGTGATTAGTGTCTGTTTTTTCTCGACTCGAGACAAGTGATTCATCTAATTAAAGATAAAAATAAAACTAATCGTTCAGCCTTAACACCCTTTCGATGCATGGTTGGCATGTCACACAAAGGAGGCATAAAGGCTAAGAAACCGCCGCAGACTAATACTATCCATCAGAAAGGTACTAGTGGTCAAGTGTCGATGCGTATATGAAAGGACATATCAACGATAGGTTGTAGTGCCGCGACGTTTAACTGATTTCGGCTTGGACCACGTGGAACGGGCATTGGATATCCGTTAAGATTCGCAATGGAAGGGCTATAATGCCGTTGCTTGCTGACCAGAGAGCTGATACTCCACTACGTCTAGAAACATGCCTCAAGAATTGTGCATGAGTGTTAATCAAGTAATTCTGGGCGTACAACAGCGGTACGGTAAGTGCAGTGTGAGGAACACGCGATGACAAACCAAGTTAGTGAACTTTGGATATCGTTAGGACGGGTCTGGTCAAATGCATCTTGACGAAACGGATCGAGCATATTTAAATAGCCGGTTTAAATTCATGTATTCAAATGTCACCAAAAAGTCTGAGACTAAGTGCAATTTCGTAATGGCTGGTTCCGCCGGTACTCATGGAGCACAACGCGAGAAGGTTGTGTGACCTGTTTTTCGACGTCACTTCGAAGAATCCTATTAAACCACAAATCAATTTCCTGTTTCCCACTGCCCCATTCGGGCATTGAGTAATGTATCAAAATATCGGTCAAGTTGGTCGGCTATTGATGTGTTCGCCGGGCTCCGTAATTGGCGTGCAAACGTTTTGTCACCATACGAGAATTCATCTTCAGTGTGTGTTTGAGTGTCTCCTCGTGTAATGGCGAAACATTTGCAAGCCAGTTGACGAGCTCGACGAAGAGATCAAGTGCCTTTTGGTCAAGGTTGCTATCATTCCTGTTTGAATGTTGGGAACAGCTCGATTCCCATTCTTCTAAGGGGTTGTATGATAGTCCATAATAATAGAAGCGTTGGTGTATACCAAACGTCGTCAGATCGCAGTCTCGGTACGCTGAGTTGAACGCCAATCCGTTGCTTCGTCTCGATGTGTTGAGCAATTTCATTGTGCGATCTGCCGAAAGTCCAGTGCAAAAAGTTGCGCTGTGGCGTCATAGCATTTAGGTCATCTTGTTTTTCCACAGCGGATCACCTGGGATATGTAATAATCCATGATACGGAGGAGCTCCGTTTGGAAAGTGCTTCCGGAATGTTTCGGTTTCTAAGTCGCTGATTGAGATGTTGCCGGTGTGTATTGTACATTGTTTACTCCCAAAAGTGGAAGGCACCAATGTAGAAGGAAAACTGGAGTAAGCATCGCGCTCTGACTCATGCCTCTGCAACCGCGCCATTCAAGCTTATACCCCTCATCTCAGGTCAGACGCTGATCCACATACACGGCGTGTGATCTGCTTCTCCACTTGGTGCAAGAAAAAAGGCTGCAGCCATTTTCGGTGAGCGACGGGGTTGATGCAATCTGCCAAGTGTGGTGACTACCCACCTGATTGATACGTGATTTCTGAGACGGGTTACCGAACAGTCCGCTTTTGTAAATTCTCCACACGGACTAAAACAATTATACATGGTGCATAAAGTGAAACCGGAGCCTTTAATTCCCATTGATTAATCGAAATATCACATTTGGATAGTAGTCTCAGCCGTACAGCGCACTCCGTCTAGCGGGGATGCGCGCAGTGTGTATACACAAGGGGTGTGTGGATGCGAGTGGACTTAGCTGACTGTAAAGGCTAGGGTTGTTGAGCCTAATGGCGACACATTCTACCACGGCATCTGGCTGTTTTAGATCTTGTCCTGGCTGCATGATAGACGATTCGGAAGGCGTGTTAGTGTAATTGGTGGTTTGTGTGTGACAGAATAACGCTCCATCCTGATCTTACACTATGAGCATTCATCCGAGCAGTGTGAGTATGCCTCCGTATACTTTCAGACACTTGTGTCGTCGTGCGGCTTAAGTGCCGTACTTGATTAATAGACAGATCATAGGGGCTGACTGAAGGACCACAGTCGGTTTGGGCGCGTGGACAAAGCTATTGTTATCTGTTTAGCCAGAGGCTCGTCTATTCGTAAGGAAGCTACAATAAAACCGCTTTCTTGTTCATCATGAGTTGTGCATCTGTACGGTCCGTTCTGGCCATGTTCTTCCAAATGAATGGCTCTAGATAGGCGTTCTTTATCTAGACATCTTTGATTTAACTCAGGTTTCTATTACATCCAACGAGACAGTGCGGATTTGAGGTTCTGTTGCAGTGGCACAAAACCAAGAAGGTTTAGCTATTGACCGCTCCGTGACTTTCTAAGAAAAATGACGCGCTGCAGGGAGCCCACTGTGTTTCTAGGAGGGATGTGACTTAGTCATGGGCTGCCGAAGAGTTTTCAGTAGTCTATGAGTAGAGTATTACGTCTATACCGTATTGCGATATCCCAAATGTCGTACCAAATAAAATACGAGGTGGCCTGTTTCAACACATTCATTTGAGAAGAACATCATAAGCGAGATACTCAGTTGGGTTGCAGTTGAGTCTCCCTTAAGAACCAAATTAGTATGCAAATGAGTGTATATGGTGTAGTCTACTTGGTGTGTGAAAGCTATTTTGGTGTTCTTGATTAAGCGATTCTAAAATCTGACCCAGGTCAGTTCTGTTTTCAGTGGCGCAGAAAATGTCTCGCATAGTAAGTCATTCTTTGTATGACCCGCTTAGGGCTTTTGTAGTCTAGTTTTCGTATGAATACTAAATCCACATATGGACTCAATGGAGACACCGTTGCTACTCCATCATCCTCAAGGCAAATGGGACCACTGGATTCGAATTGTATTCGCAGTACAAAATAAAAGTAGCGAATTGTTCTCTAGTAGTAGAGTTACCCACATCACATTGATGTCGATCATTGCGGTGACAAGTGATTGAGTATCTCATAGCGGCACACTCACGAACAGTGAGAACACACAAAGCGACATCATTCTCACGTCGGTCACATTGAGTGAGTCATGTGTGTTAACTATTCCTCACTCGCATCCAAACACCTCTCCTACATACATGCTACGCACATTCTAACTGAAGGGAATGCACTACACATAACTAATTAATAATACTAATAATCGTTCAGCTGTAACACTCCCGGTGCCTAGCTTCCATGCCACTCAGAGGAAGCACGAGGGCTGGGATACTGCCAGGTCATCCAGGCCAAGACAGGGGAAGTAGAGTGGCAGAGGTTGGGTTCGAACCACAGACCTTTCGGTCAGTAAATTCGCGCCCTAACCACTTGGGCCATCTCGCCCCTGAATGGAAATTGATTACAATCACCAGCTGTGGTATCTCGATGACGCTGTTGTGCCATTTTATGTAAGTGTAGACCTGTATTAGCCTATGTGGCGAATTTGCGAAAGCAGTTTGTTCACTAACGCGTCTTCTAATCTCCGATCCAAAATTTTTCCTTTGTTCAAACCCCCTTATGGTCCGTGTGACCATTTCTGAGGCAACTGGTATTAAGTTGCATAACCTGAGTTTATGCATGCAGCAAACTGTGGTAGTGTACGCGTCTGGCACTGCGAATTCTGAAAACCACATTTGGCAGTTCTGGGATAAGTTCGAAGGACTTCCGGAATTACCTTCACTATATCCTAAGGCCGGCTGTAAAGTGTCGATGTGATAATGAGGTGTTCTAAAGGATGGGGGCTTACCGTTTGGAGCAAAGACCTGTGCCCCCTCTTCAATACGGATTTGCTCATTCAGTTGTAGGAATACCGGGGGCGAGATGGCTCAGGTGGCTAGAGCGTGAATCTACTGACCGGAAGGTCCATGTCTTAAACTTGACCTCTGCCTCTCCAATTCCTCTGTCTAGGCTTGGGCAACCTGGCAGTATCCCAGCCCTCGTGCTTTGTTCTGGTGGTATGACAGCTAGGCACCGAAAGGGTGTTCCAGCTGAACGATTTTTTTTAGAATTTTTCTTATAGGAACACCTGATGGACGCCGTCTTTCATTCAGCGCATGAGCGATTCCACTCGTCACCTCTAATTTGGTTGGTGTTTGTGTGGAAGGTTGCCCGGAAGTAGGAACTGACACACTGTCGCGCGGTGCAGTTTTGAGCTAAGTTTTGCGTGAAGGCTGAAGTACACTTGGGAGAACTCAAGGCATGTGGTGCGAAAGAATGACCAACAGTAGCGGCAGTTCGACTTCAAAACTCCAGTCAAGCAGTTATCTGATCGTCGGCATATTCGCAGAGCTGGGCAATTTGATTGAAAGCGTTTCATCCCCAATCTAGGTGACATCATCAGTGCGTTGTTTGGGGGCGTAGTAGTGCGTAGCGACGGGTCGGTGATTGGTTGATGAAACGTTTGCAATCTATGGGACTTAATGAAGTTCTTGTCGGGACGCCTCCAGACGCGAAGAATACATGTACAGAGAACGACGCGTCTCCAAGGTCCCCCACACGTTCCAGATAGGTGCGTTGGCGGAGCTTTCCAAACACGGCTTAGCAGCAAGTGACCAGCGGAGTGGGTGTGAAGTTGTTCACGACAGGGACGTCGCCATTGGCTGTACAGAACGAAAAAGCGAATGACCATATTTGACCCTTTAGTCATCCGATATATTTATGCATAAGCTCTGTATGTTTTTGCGACAATACAGCCTGTGTTCTCCTTGTCGCGTAGTTTGGGAGGTTCAGTACAGGCGTAACCAATAGACGCCCCCCACCATACAACAGTTCTGAATAGAGCATGCATCTGCTCGAGTATCATAAACCCGGTCTAAAGCTAACTCAGCGCAACATTACTTCCAAAGATGGTTTGGGATATTTCTTCCTTAGCATACCACTTACGGAGTTGTTGAAAGCTCCTAGACGAAGAGTACGAGTGCTGTAACTGATAATAGAATGACGAATAACCGTAATAACTTATCAATACCGCTGCCTAGTATCGAATTGAACTCACTCCATCGGCACTTGGTTGGGACCAGTCGATCGAAGTGAGTCATTCAGGGTTTGTCTCCGGGATACCTATCACTGTTCTCCTAACCAGCAGATTACGGTGCATTCGGACCATCTTTAGAGAACGTGGGTTACGGGAATGTCCGATAGAGTGCATTATTTGTACGGTCGATCGTTTCTTCTCACAGTGCTTTATCGACAGGAGATTCACTGGTGGATAAATCGGAAGTGAAGAATGGTTTCTCCCTGAAAAGTAGTCTCTCAAGATCGGTCATTCGATTGCCATAGATGCATGAATGCATGTGGGATAAACCGACGTGGTTTAATGTATTAATATGTATGAATTCTATTCAGATGCATGCAAAAGTGGTGGGTTTTTTCGAATTCAGGAAGAACAGGTTTGAATGTTATGAGGTTCTTTAACCATTCACTACTGTCACCCTATTCAAAGCAAATTTTTTCGATCAACAGCGATAACAAGTTTTTGCGGCCCGCTATTTATCGGAGGGACTTTCTCAACCCCTTTCCGAATGTGGTAAGCAACAGGCTCAATGTACGAAACGCGATTAGGGCTACCGATTTTTCTTGATCTCCTCATCCCTGTGCACCGACTTGAACTCTGGGTCTATGTAAGTAGAGTATTAGGATAACCATCTCCGAACGTGACGGGACTACATAACAGCCAATGAAATGACCGTTTTCGTTGAGACAGATTTCATTGGTTGTTCTTCACTCGTTCTTGACGGATGAGTTGTATTCTTAGTATCACTTTGTTTACCCGCTTGTACGCGACAGTGATCAATAGATCAGCCGGTTCGCACGTTCGTTGGCTTTTTCTGGTTTGGCCAAGCGCGCCAGACTGTCAATCGGCTGTCCAGACCGGAATTCACGGTAATAAGAAGGCATTAAAGAGACTGTGGTCCAAAACACAGAGTGCCTGATGTCATTTCGTTGTATGCAGTTGTTATCGCCGCTGACTGTTTGCACTGACGTTTACGCACCACGACAGAAAGTTTGAGTGTTGGATTATTTTGCATGATACATTTTGTATGTTAATGGCCAAAAAGCTGGAAAGAACATTCAGCATTTGAGTTGCTATACTTCTTTCGTGTCAAACGAACTACTGCTACAGGCCAAAGCCACACGCACGGTCAGTAACTGTTCAACTGAAAACTGCACGCAAGGGACAACTCACCTGAGAAAGATATTTCGCAACTGCTACTCGAGACGTGCTGTTTCACGCTGCATTTTGTTCAAAAGGTCTCAAAATTTGAAGCCCTTCCCCTCGCGCTCTCGATGCGGTTATTGTTTGCTTTACAGTGCTGGGATCCTAGAGATCATCAGAACAAAACGATCATGGCATGTGACCATCTTTCGTGTAGACATTTTACAACGATTTCCAAATGTGCAAAGAGGGCGGCCCAGTGAATGAAAAATACCTTACCAATCTGAATTGTTCAGACTGTTGGATGTTGATTCCTTACAGAAATCAAAACAGTGAGACGTTACGCTATCTCAGGCTACTACCAGTCTGAATCCCCCGAATTCTTTTATGACACTGCCGTTCCCCCATTCCATCTAATACGCACTTCGGTTGATTTATACGGAAGACAGTTCCCGGATTGATTACTTCTCACACTAACCGCCCTACGTACTTCTGTTCACCACTGTGTATGCTGTTGATTTTGAGTGGTCCTTCACGGGGTTCAGGTGGTGACTCACCTGCCCAAGGTTATTTTAGTCAGAACAGGCCCGTGTATTTGACTGCGGTACAGTTCGCGCATGCTACAGGTGTGACGGCTTACTATACGGTGCACACTTGGGACAATGTTTCGCGGCGCGATAGGCGTCGCTGACCACTCTGTCCGTTCGGTTTATTCTAGTTCACTTGTCCCTCCTCCCCCCGGTAGTCCAAATGCTCTCACGGCCCCTTTACGTCCTCTGCATGTTTTGTTTGTCACAAAGACGCCACAGTGATTGTTATGGCCATTCTTTACAGCCCTCCGAATTGGTATAGTTTGTGATCATTGATCGTATGTCCGTATTCATGCCTGATTAGCAATACTGAAGTTCGTCGAATGGTATTCGGGAGAAATAACTCACCCTCGATAGATGAACTGGTCACACTGCATCGGTTGCGCTGGCTTGGCCACTTGCTGCGTATGCCAGTCGACCGACTTCCTCGAAGGGCTCTTTTCGCACAACCACGTGAAGGATGGAAGAGAACCAGAGGCGGTCAACAATGACTTTGGCAGCGAAGTATAAAAGCCATTACCAGCAAACTCAGCTGCGCTGGTCCCTGCTGTCTTCCTGGATGGGGACCTCGAGACGGGCCACATCAATGGTTAAAGACATTATCGGACATGGTCCAGCCGCGCCCTCAATGGCGCTCATGCATCCAAGCTATTGCCTTCAATGTATAGCCCCCTGCCCAATCCCCCCACTTAACAGTCCACCTACAGTGCTGTATGTACGCACCAATTCATCAGCTCCCGCCTTTAATGTGCAGTTACCAACCCCACCTTTCCAAATCGTCGGTGAACGAAACTTTGGCAGCTACAACCACTGTACGACAAGTATGCGGTTATTACAGCTGACAATGATGACGATTCATGCTGAACCTAAACTGAGATGTTTTAGGACGAGATTCGTGGTTCCCACTGCCCCATCTGCTGCTGTGACAATCCTGTCGCCCGTGTCAGTACTGATGTGTCCGTTGCTCAGTATCTCAAGTACAGATTTACCTATCGGTTTTCCTCCTAGCTTCAAGTCTGCGTCGAATAGCAACAAAAGTGGCCTCTGTGAAATCCGTCTTACCACTCTGGATTCCGGGTAAACCGGAAAACAAGTAGGCATAGCGCTAAAGGAACTGAAGGTTTTTGACAGGTTACTTAGAGGTGACGGGTTCTCCGAAATGACCCGGGTACTGAGCATTCGCTTTCATAGACACAGATGACGAGTAAGTTTAATCGCATTACTTGCAAGAGCAAATAGAACGTCATTCATCCGACGAACTAATTGTACCGACATGGATCAGAGGCCCACAATTTCAGTTACGCCCTCCCATGTCCAATAAATGAAAGAAAAATCCAACCAGGAATAGATCAAAACGGCAAACATGTTCTTTTTTTACAAAAAAAGAAAACAGCAGTAAAAAGATACCGCGGTACATGTGAACTCAGATGGAAGTTATTCAGTTTGGGAGCGGGAGACAATCGCAAACGCGGTGTCCGTATTGAATAGACACAAAAATACACGGGGATTGTAGGGATTGTGTAGGAGCATTGAGAGTAGCAGCAATCGATGACTATGAGTAGGTGTGATGGTGGCAAGTGTGTGACCCGACCGGGATTAAACATCTATTCAACACCGCCTCAAAGTGTAAGTACTGCAGGTGTCGTGGGGCGAGATGGGGTGAAACGAAGAATACCATCTCTTATGATGAAATACGCGCTTAATTTTGAATACCGCCAATGGAACGTTGTCTTAATCCGGATGGGCTCGCGGACAGATTTCTGATAGAAAACGTAGTAAAATGCAACTTGTCCGAAAGAAAGCCACTAGATAGTGAGGGCTGCACAAACACGAGTTATGATATTTGGAAATGGGCAGCCTGAATAGATAGTACCATTAGTCACACATATCCACTTCGTGTGGACCCAAAATACCGGGAACTGCTGCTAATCGCCTCATCTTGGCTTCCTGAGCCTGTTGAATCTCTTGTTCCCGTTCGTCTAGATACAGGTCGGACAAATCCTGACCCGCAACTTCGCGGATCTGAACCAAGAAATCGCGAATATGTTCCCGAAAAGCCGGTAAATCGTGGTTAAATGAGAACAAACCGTCAATAAATACGCGGATTTGAGGTTCCTGCAAATGGGGAAACACCTGCTTGAGGAGTTGACTCAGACTTTGATGCACGTAACGCACGTTGGCTTTTGGGCCAATGGGGTTCTCGGGAACATCACTCAAAGGTACCGTGATGACGTCGTTTTCCACGATTTTGAACATATAGGCTAGCAAAGAACATTGCAAGGTGAGATCTGGAAACAAAAAGGTAGAAATGATAGCTTTAGGATTGCTTGGGAAAACAATGTTCAGTTTCATAACTGGGTGACTGAAACGAAAGCTTTGTCATGCCAAGTGAGCGGGCAGACGGAGAACCAATCGACAAGACCCCTTCCGATTAGCACACTACGTCAGTGTTGAATGTCAGTTAAAAGGTCTTATCGGTTGTTCTGGTTGCTTAAATCTTATGGTCGATGGATTGCGTGAATTCCAAATCATTTTGACCGGGTTTCGGTCCTTGACCTTCGGGTTCAGGGGTTCGATTCACGATTCATCTCAGGTGCCAGTGGTAGGTTTTGTTCGTCTGTGTGAGTCTGTAAGGCGGCGACAAATTTATTTGGGGGGGGGGAAGTGGTATGTGAGATTAGGTGAAATTTTTGGTCGGTTTGGTTCCTGCGCTCCAGACCTAAGCGGCCTCTGCTGATAACTTCTCTTTCTTGTAGGCACACCACGGCTTGCCAGTTCTACACCTATTCTATTTACACTAAAACGCTTGGCAACTTCCGCTGTCTCAGCTATCGGTCTCTGAGGAGTGAACCGTAGGCCCCACCTCAAAAATTTAACGCTGTAAATCTGCTTTGTGTCCCGTGTCCCCCCATTGCTGAGTCTTTCAGAAACGCTCGATATTCATCTGCGTTTATTGGTAGCCCATTTACTTTTCTCTTGTGCTCACTTATTCTGCTATGAAGTTCTCTGGCCGTCTGTCCTATATAGACTTTAGTGCAGTCATTGCATCTAATTTTGTAGACAGTCCTCGGTACCCATCACCGGGAGTCTAGCCTTCAACTGCACCAGTGCAGAGCGCAAACTGTTACCCTTCTGGAACGCTGCTCTAATGTTAACCGTGTTCAGAATCATTCGAATGATTTCGGGTGTCCCTGGTGTATATAGAATAGCAGCAATCCGTTCCCTGTTGGGCTTCGCCACAGGTACCAATACCTTTGGTAAGAGGTCTAATCAAACGAGATGGATATCACTTATCCCGAAGTTTGTTCTTTACTTCAATTTGGGGCACTTTCCGTGTACAGGACCCATACTCAACTAAACATTGATGAGGCAGTACTAGCGAACACCGATTTCGGATGGGCAGTCGAGTAGTTCAAAATCGCACCGGTGTTAGTTCGCTTCTGATGCCTGGCCTAAAGTCTAAGGGCAGTGTACGCCAAGCGACCGATAGTAGACAGAATAAGTTCCCCACACATGAGGTGGCCAGATTCCTGGCAGATATACTTTGCTCAGTGGTTAGAATGCGAATTTACTGACTGGAAGGCCCGTGGTTCGATTCCGACCTCTACCTCTTGACTTCCCCTGTCTAGGCTTGGGCAACCTGGCAGTATCCCAGCCGTCGTGCTTCCTTCTGGTGGCATGACAGCTAGGCGCCGAAAGGGTGTTACAGCTGAATGTTTTTTTCCAAGCCTAGACAAGAGAAGTGGACAAGCAGAGGCCGGATTCGAACCACGGACCTTCCGATCAGTAAATTCGCCCTTTAACCACTGAGCAAACTATATCTGCCAGGAATCTGGCCACCACCTCGGTAGACCGTGAACCCGCGGTTGGTTTCACTTTTGGGGTACAAACAATATCACTTACCTTGCCCTGGGTGGCTTATCACGGACCACAAATCCTGCCAACGTCAAATTTACTCCTATTCACTTTAGAAGTAATATTCCCAATATCGACCTGCCAATAGGGACACTGAGCTAGGTGTTGCTTAACCTTCTGTAGATGATCACACTTGTTCGTGAGGAGGGTGACCTCATCCGCCTTTGTAATCACTGTTGTTGACTTGTTGTAGCATATTTAACGCTCTCCGCCCTGGTGGTCCGTAGTTGCAGAAATCAGTTTGAAAAATCAAGTGGGTTAAAATGCACAGTTTATTGTGGATGGGTAGAACCAGTGAGTTTTTCGTTGAGCAAAATAGAACTGTCACAAAACCCACCTCGAGTTTACTCTGAGGTGGTATTCAACTATTTAACCAGTTGGAAATGTAAATAACCGGAAAGGGTCGTTTACACTGGACTTCTTGCGCAACAGTAGTGAACTTCATCCTGCGCATGGAAGTGAATCAATTTGCCAACAGTGTGCTAAACGGCTTTTAAGGAGACAAGAATCATCCTCCAGCCCACAAACCTTCACTAAGACCAGGCAAGAAAAGGGCACAAGTATTCTAGCGTAATATATGGTGTTGAGTAAAACTTAGGAGATTTAAATTTCTACAGAAAGTGGGTCGATCACAATGTTCAAGAAGCCAGCTCCAGCACGAGGGCTGGGATGCTGCCAGGTTGCCCAAGCCTAGACAGAGGAAGTCGAGTGGCAGAGGTCGGGTTCGAACCACGGACCTTCCGGTCAGTAAATTCGCCCTCTAACCACTTGGTCCATCTCGCCCCAGCCCCAAGCTTAAACCGATACATGAAAAATACTTACTTCCAGTTTGAGATCGATCCGTGATGACTGCAAACATGTGCTGCAGGATATCCATGTAGAATGTTTTGAAAAACACTTGGCGCTGTTCCACATTTGCGCTTGACATGTTCACAAGCATTGTGTGTAAAATATTGAGACCGGTTTCAGAAACCTACAAGCGGGATGGGATACGGGTGAAAAAAACGTGGAAAAACAAGTAGTCACAATTAGAAGGGAGCCAAATTTAATGTCACTAGTTTTGATATGAATAAACGGTACGGAATGAGACGGTATACAATCAAGCCAAGGTGTAGATGAATGAGAGTCCTAAAAAGGACATGGAATATCGGTAAAGTCTTGAGGACTGGGTTGTTTGCTTCATTGGTTCGCCAGAACAACGACTAGTAGTGTGGGAGAGTAATGCTGATGGAATGTAAGTCTAAATCAACGCGACAGGTTGTCAGGGACGCATGGCATACAATGAGATGAAAGCACATCCACATCGCGGAGAGTTTGACAGGCTTGCGCCGAATCAGTAACTATCGCGTGCTCCGCTCAGGAATGAGCCGCAATCTCAGTAGAACTCCGTCCTCAAGAAGGCTCGGTTCATATAGGACATCGACTTCGCGTCAGTTGGACGCCAATACCAAGTGAACAATGTGGCTTCCAACTGTCTTGATGAGGTCTACTCAAGCAACCCGGCAGTGTTCGCATAGGCTCTGACAAAGACGTGCGTAATGTGACTGCAGCTCCGAAAAGCTGTACATTCCCACAAAACCACTAGTTTGGTTGGCAGCTGAAGATTACGGTTCTGAAAGTACGAATTGGACTGATCCAACGGAAACACACCCACAACCACGGTACTCAGTACCATTCAGCACTTTTTGGCTAAGTAATTGTGTGAAACCATTGAAACAAAGTTGAGGTTGGAAATCAGGGATACACTGGCTAACATGCTTTAACATCAATTCATGGCGCAAAATATCAAACTTCTTATGGGAACATTGCCTTAACATCAATTCATGGCGCAAAATATCAAACTTCTTATGGAGAACATTCCCCTCATGAGGGACAATTTCAGCTTGTTCTTTTGGCCTTCTCTCCAAAGAAGTCAGTGTAGAACAAAGCACCGCGGAACTTAAGTACGTGGGTTGAGAAGAGCGATGGAGGTAGTATTAATGGGTACAAGTTGACTTGCACCAGGGTTACACACATGTATTCGTCTGACTTTTATGTGGTGCGTTGCTTGCTCGGACTCCAAATTGGAGAAACGCACTGAATTGGGTCAAGCTGACAGTGGAAACCTCATGCGAATATGTGCTTGTAAATAGGCTGTTTGTGTATAAGAACAAAGTATACTGAACAAAACAGGATACTGAACAGAGACAAACGAGTAGGTGGGGATCCCGCTGGATCAACATGTCGCGCAACTTATTTTCAGAAAATAGTCAGGGGCGTACCTGGCGCATGGTATGCTTAATTGCCCAAATTACACTATCCAAAATGAGCTTGAATTTGTCTGTGGTCAGACTCAAGAGGGCGGAGAAGCAATTGCTATTGACAGCTTGGAGAAGACTGAAGAAATATGTTCGGTGTTCCGGGTATTCCTCCAAATCTTTGTCAATCATTTCCAAAGTGGACTGGAAGACAGCGTCTAGGATTCGAGGTAAGGCCGGCAAGATGCGCTCTTCAAGCCTTGTGACCAAAGTTGCCATGAGGTTAAGTACTTCAGCTTCTCGTGCAGCGGGAATGTTGCGCTGGTAGTCATCCGCAACAGCATCCAAAAGAGGCGGGACGAAATTCTCGGCAACCTACAGGAGAGATATAAACTGAGTAATGATGTGTTGAAGGGCTTTGCAAGGGGAGCTGAGGACATGCTAAGCCTAAAATTAGTATTCGTATCCAGTAACGAGTCACAGTAAGGCGGGTTGCCCGAAAAACTGGTCTACGTGAACAATGTCCTGAATCTTTGAATGAGATATTTACTTTCGGACTACGGAGGTGAGTGTGGTCCGATGCGTGAGGAACAGGTGCCGAGAAAAACCGTCCAGCCGTGACGTCCTTTCGATGCCTAGTTGCTAGGCCACCCGAAGGAGACACGAGGGCTGAGATACCATCAGGTTGTCCACACCCAGACAGGAGCAATCGACCCTATGTGGTCGAGTTCGAACCACTGACTTACAAATTAGTAAGTTCGTGCCATCTGAAGCTGAAACCGGTGCCAACTGTTCAGAGTACCACGTCAAAGTTAAGTACCTAACTATGGAGTGCCTGATAGTAGGAGATAGTTGGACGATCAAGTCAGCATGTGTGTTTGTGACAATGATGCACCCTACATGGTGGTACAACTGAACACTTTCTAGACAATGTGCACAATCTTCATGCAACCTATGGCAAAGCATTCAGGTATAACCCTGAATGTGTACGGCGCACGGACGGGGCTAGCTCAAGTGTCCATCAGTATCAAGGGTCGTGGATCTCTAATTTTAGTCGTATAAACAACCACAGAACCACTTCGGGAAAATAGGCAGTGTCACATCGGAAAACATGGGTAAAAACAGTTTTCTGATGGGTTTCAAGAACACAAGGGCATGAAATTAAGGAGGAAACGAGAGAAGGGCCAATGGAATTACGCAACCGCCAAAAGTAGGTCCAAAAAGGCAGGACTGAAACTTAGGGATTCGCTTAGGAGGGAGATGGACAGTGCCACAGTGCAGACATGCGACAGTGAGACTCACCAGATCCGCATCGGTTGAACGGATGAACCAGCAAGAAAGAACGCTAAGAATGGCCTTTTTCACCGAACGCATGTTCTTTATCAAGGGTTGTTTGGTCACTTGCTCACCATTTGCTGCAACTGCTTGATTGATATTTTGAGACATGATCTTGTAAACATTGAGCATGTCCAGATAAATGCGTCCAAGCTAAAGCGGTATATAGTGATGGGTTAGAACGGTTACATTCAGTCATGGGAGGCAAGAACTAGCACAATAAGCGTTTTAAAACATTGTGGAGTCATATCTAGTGTGCCTCTTTGTTCCGTCCAACTAAAGCCTCCAGGAAGTAGGTAACGGTGCTTGAAAAGCCCCCAAGCTTTGCAACATTACTAGATAACTTGGCTTGACTAAAAAAGCCACTGTAGGTAAAAAAGGCGCTGGTACTCGAGACACATCAATTGCTGAAAAACGTATCTGACATGCATCAATATAACCCAACGACGGAAGTGATGCACTTCCGATCCGAGTGGAACTCAACTCGCAAAGCTACACTAATGCGCACACATGACTACCTCTGGTGCTTTGTGATTGTTTTTGTTATTTAAAACCTGAGTACGATGGAAAACTTCACCACGCATACACCATCTATAGCAGCCGACGATGATAAACATAGGCAAACCAATCTACGGTTTCACAGACAGCTCCCAATTCGCTAACTTCGAGGACAATCAAGGAGCTGATGTAGAATTCTGTTGTCTGTAATCAAATAACATCATTCTGACTAAAAAGTTCAGACGGAGGGGTACACCTACAGACTGCAATCAAATAAACAAGAATACATCGTGGATGAGCTAAACAGGGCCTACTGATACCAGAACTGAAAGGTCCAGTAACCACGTACATTATGCGCGACATCAGGACTGTTCTTCTCAGAACCAACGGGACTAACAAGCAGAAGAATGACACACAAATCACCAGTCAGATTGGCAAATTGGCACCGTGGCGACATCAAACATTGCTGGAAAAGAAGCCGCAACAACAACAACCTGTCTGGCTTAACACACTCGTCTCGTCTTCCGGCCAGGCATGAACATCTGGCATTACACAATGCCAGTCCTCGAGCCAGTGCAACGCATGCAGCCCTGAGAAAATTGTCGGCAACACAGATAGGACTGCTATTACACGAGCACAAAGTGTAACCGGTTAGTTTTGTAACGTGCCCGATGAGTCACAAGCGGAGTAAACCGCGTCCTGCACTATCGACACACACGTGCTAGTCACACATTCGCCGTTAATAATCGACGAAGCTAGGTGACTAGTGGTTCCTGAGACAGTCTGTCACCCCATGAAACTCTATGTCTATGGGACTAGCTCGTCTCCTCGCAGGAATCAACCGAAATAAAGTAAGCTCAGTTAGTAGATGAAAACAAAAACCAATGCAAGATCAGCAACCACGAGTGTGAAATGCGCGGGATGAGTGATCAGTATTGCCGTAGTTAGTGCCTTGGTTTGCAGGCACGTCCGGTTGACGAAAACTGCCATTTCTTGGCTACTTGGAGAAACAAGTAGAGTGACAAAATAGCTAAACACGTAAGCCTCTAGAACCTTAGCAGTCCATTCCTGAGAGTATTTGTTTGACACCACTCACCTGCACCAAGTAGGGCTGACCAAGAGATTTGCAGGCACTGTGATTGGTTTTCAAAATATTGCACAATTGTCTGACTGTCTCCGAGTCCTTGAGGATTTCAACGTCGGTCGCTGCGCGGGACAGTATACTGTCCCATATCTAAATGATGGACAGTGGTTGGGGAAGAGCACTAATGAAATACTAACCTGATTCGGCAGACGGAACAGTCGTTCGATCTGCTCACCCTGTACATTCGGGTCCTGCTGGGCACTGATAATGACACCAACAGCCTCGTAAAACGTGTTGACTTGTGGCGGTTGTAGATCATTGATAATTATATCGATCTCTCGGAGGATCTCCTCAATGAATTCAACGGTTTCTCCGTACTGAAAGAGACCGGAGAAACGTGAGGATTTTAGGGAGTAAGCAAGGGAGGTGCGGGTAACAGGAGATTATGTGATAGTGAGAAGGAACAAGGTCACCAACCCTTTGAATGATCCAAGTACAGAAGCGCTCATGGACCTACATAATCTCGAAACTTACCTGTACAGTGACTAACTGACGGCGACATTTTTGAGCAATTTTGATAAATGTATCGCAAGCCATGTCTTGAACGCCCTCGTGAGTTTCATGCATGAACTCAAACAACTTGGTAATGACTGTCTTTAGAAAACGCCAGTGCGCCCGCAGAAACCTGGGATACTGGCCCACAACATACATGATGTTGCTGGCCACAATAGCCTTGTTGTCTTTGCCTCGTTTTTGTTCACATAAGCCCAACAGGTCACGAATGACAACCACCAAGAAACTCCGCTCGTCGTCTTCTTGCATAGCACCTGAGATACTGCCGATTGCCCAACACAGTGTGTTGAGGTTATGCCAGGACCATTCACGGCCATCCACTTGACTGTGAAGTTTTTCTATCATGATCTTCTTGGTATCCTGTACAGAGGTAGGAAGAAAGGATGCGAACAATTCAGGAACAATATGCATTTTGAGGTTACTGCGAACTTAAAGCGATTCTTCAACGCAAAAAAAAATAGTTACAGCGAAGACCGATGGGTGACATCGATACTATTCGCCGTGAAAAAAGGATCGCTATTTCCCTGGAGAGACCAAGTCAAAGATCGTGCACTGATGGGAGAGTTTTCCTCCACCTTTCTTTTTTTTTTTAGCTCAAACGCTTAACGGAAGCTGGTCCCGTCTGGATATTTAAGGACTGTCAGCCAATGCGCCTAAAAGTGGTTTAACAGGAGAAGACCTCATGTCATCGGCCCCCAGAACAAAAACAGAGTACAACCTAGTGCTGAAGTGCAGTTTCTGCGTCAGTCTTGTGGTTGTTAAGCCAAATAGTAGCAACAGCTTGGAGTGAATAAACACATTGTGATTTATCAAGTGGCGATTCTAACCCCGACGACGTCAGCTGTCTACAATGATAACTTACTAACTGGCTCAACGACCTTAAATTCTACCTTGGTAACTCTCTGAAGTAATTGGTGTTGAAGTCCTGAACCGAATGATTCCGTCCAATTAAGTCTGAGATAGAGTAAAAACGGGGATGAATGATTCCGTCCAATTAAGTCTGAGATAGAGCAAAAAACGGGGATGAAGCACTATGAACGGTAGAGTAAACTTCCAACTTGGGGCACTCGACCGAGGGATGCGAAAGTTAAGTGAGCTGCGAATAGTAGAAATACCAGGTTTGCATTCAAACCGAGAACCCTGACTAGAAGCTGATGTCCTTACGCACAGACTAGTTGGGGCGCAAACTTATTCTAAGAGCGAGAATACAGCACTATCGGAGCGCCATAAAATGAGCGCATTGACAACTGATGCCTTCTTATAAGAAATTACAACAGTTGGTGAGCATGGTAACGATCAAGAACATACCGTGCAGTTCAAATGCGTTAGATACACCAGGGTTTCCCGCATAGTCTTGTACAAATTCAATCCATCGGTATCTTTCATGAATTCACGAACAACTTCACCGTGCTCATTTTCAACGACCAGCACTTCTTCCGGTCGAGCCATTCGAGAGATCATAATTCGCCGCAGCTGGATAGCAAAAGAGAACATCATAAACCATAACAAAACAGGATGATAATCAGCAAGCTAAATATAACTTGCTACAGAACCTGGCTTAAGGGATTCCGGGGCACGAAGCCAACCAGCATACATTTAGAAACGAAACAAGGGTAACCATACCGAACACAAAGTTGAATGACGTTCTATGCTTACTACCCTAGAATGGTGTAACCCAGAATACCGTTCAGTACTGAATTAGAGTGAGCCTTAAATAACGAAACAGGCATTTCACCTGGTGGGCTCTTCCAAAATATCGGGAGGCCGTTCCATAGCGGTTTCAACGCGAATATGATGGAAACAACCCAAAGCGGTCGAAGGAAGGAGACTGCAGAAAGGTTCTTTGCAAACTACATTACTCAGTCTTAATGTTCAGTAAACCACTACTAGAGGGAACCTATCGAATCCTTTTTTCTGAAAAATTGCCCCAGTTCTGCAGTGGTCTCTCCCAAGAAATGAGGTTTCCAGGAATACTCATCTCCATTGTTTCACTTTTATCTTCAAAAAAGGGATATCTGGATAATGCGGGCCCACAGGAAGTGCACAATTTACTTAAACACTTAAACGCATAAGTAGATTTTAAACTTTTTCGGAGAAACCAGTGAACAGTGCTGCACTTCAACGTGCTTTTTATGTTACCATTCATACAAGTAAACATGCACGGGATTTTCCAGACTGCTGACAACTGACCGTGAATGAAGCAAAGAAGGCAAACATATGAGCAAGGCAACTGAAAGAGAGACATTAGGTACTTGTTTAAAGTAAGCCCTTTTCCAAGTTTGCTGCGTTTATCGACAAAAGCTACCCCCGCTAGGCCGCAGTCAACTACAACAGAAACCTGGGATTCCATCGATCGTTGGCTGCCCAACTGCATTCCGCGGGATATTATCATCATCAACACCGACAGCATAACATCAGTGCCCAACACCGATGCTTTGCTACCGTGCAACCATAAATTATTTGAAAGCTTTGTTGTGGAGAAAAAATAAAGGTGGGCGGAGAATGGACTTAATGCTAGCTTACTACAATCATTCCGAGGTGCTTACACTTCCAGACATTCATTCAGGCAATCTGGATATAAACTGACAAGGACGCCACTAACATAGGTTGGCAGCCATTGACAGCTGAAACGTAAGCCCACTTCACATAGCTTGGCACATGAATACTCAACTGGCTCCCGTGAGCCTTCATGACAAACTGTCGACCGTTAAAACAAAGAAAGAAAGAAAGAAAGGTAAGCGAGGTTGTGCCGCGGTAGAAACATACCTTGGAGAGAATATGATCAAACTGTTTACATCGATCTCGCATGAATGTTGGGTCACAGGGAAAGCTGTCTCGATACAAGTCACCCACCAGAAGATTCCAGTATTCAAGACATATTTTGAAAATCTCGCGTTCATCAACCTCTGAAAGCATAAGCAAATAGGCATACGCATCCTGGAGGCACCAGAGCAATTCCTGTTTTTCCACCAGATTGCTATGGCACTTCAAATAAGTTGTATAAAAAATGGCCAAATTCTGGATGAAATTCTGTTCATCACTGCTTCCAGACTCGTAGGCCTCTTTTAGTTTGGTTTCCAATGGCAACATCTAGAGGAAGGTGCGTAATGAACAATGTTAAAGTGACAACAACGCTCACTTCTTTCAGTTTATTTGTTGTTGAAACGAATAGTTCCACCAATTGCGTCCCGTATTCATCGGTCATCACCCCGGCTACAGACGTTGGTTTACCAAACAAAGCAACATACCTATTTCAGCAAGACACTTGAGTGTGACATTTCTGAATAGCGGCACATTGAAGAATTTGAACACTAAAGTTTGTATGAGATTCGTTTCGAATATGTAGCCCAAGGGAATCCAGTGCATAAATCGTAGCAGTGTTTCTAGAGTGGCCACAACGAGCGAAGCATTTTGCGACTTCTCCAGTACGAACTGCGAGAGTTGGAAAATAAGCCCGAACTCCTGACACATGGAATCTTTCAAGTGTTTTGCTTTGGTCTGGGTCATTTGTCCGAGGGAAAAGTCAAAAACCTCCTCACTGAGTAGTCGCAGGATGACCATGTTGTTCTGACACAACGACTCATTTGTTTTACTCGCACCCACAATATCACTTATGAATGTGGGCCAATTGACAGGCCATTCATGTTTCAATATCTAAAAATATGGTAACACAATTGCAATGTGATTACTTCAACCAGGATCATGTTCAACTTGCCGAGGTAGGTCCTCTCCGACTCTATCAACTCGTTGTTAGAAGAAGTTTGAATGATTAAGCCGACAATATATTTTTTGATACCTAAAGACAATATATGAACCGCTTGGAACACTCACCTTCACACTGAGGTCGAGCAAGGACTTTCCAGCGGGATTTGATCAACGCCTCGAGAATTTGCAGTCCAAAGTATTTCGTTTGCCTGTTTGAACTGAATTCTAAAATCGAGTCGACACGCATCCATGCATCTGGGTGTTCCTTCAAGGTATTTAAGATTTTCTCCGCCAACTTTTGCTGAGGTCCACTTTCATTGTACATACAGTCAACTACACGATCCAGTAAAGCGATGTCCAGTGGTTGTGAAAAATCCAACAGCTGTGATGCAGCGACTTCACTTATGACACCCATAGTTGGCGAGGGACACATGTGCTGGAAACGGGAACTGAAATTAGGAGAGTAAATATCGATAAATCAGATTGTATGGATGTTGTTCGAAACTTTACCACGTCGTCACTTCCGTTAGAAGGTCAGGCTGATGTGGCCTCAAAGCCGAGAACAAGCAGTTAAGCCAAGTTTTTTTTATGATAACCGTTCACCTGTAATACCCTTTCGGTGCCTAGCTGCCATGCCACATAAAAGAAATACATGGGCTGGGATAGTGCCAGGTTGCCAAAGCCTACACAGGATAAGCAGCGCCGTATCAAAGAATAATACTTGGACGTCAAAAACAGGGGCCTAACTGAGCAACGAAGCTGTGCAGCACATTCAACTGAAAAATACCACACCTCAACTGTACAGTTGCTCAATTTGCAAACGAGGGCTTAGTTCCATAAATGTGCTATCACGGATAACGCATTCCAACTTGTAAATGGGGCAAAGAGAAACATTCGAACGACAAACCTAAGCGAAATGAGATAGCAGATGTTCACGGAGGTGCAGTTGGGTTTAATCCACAGTTGCTTTTAGTCTTGATCCGGGTGTGGATGCATCGACCCAAGTTACCCTCGAGTTCTGTAACTGTGAAAGGAATGAAGGTCAAGGTATGGGGGGGGGGGCGAGAAAAAAGGAAAAATGGAAGACATGAAAACTGGATGCGCCAGAGTGGCAAAAGATTGCGCTACACGCACGACACTAAGTGAAACATGCAACCACTTTTGCAACGACGGAAATTGCCTCCTGATATCCAACGCGGTAGATGGCACCTACCAACAGTACAGGCGACGCGATCCAAGTTTTCATGGCCAAAAGTCCTGTCATCAGTCAGCTGCAGCTCCTCCGTTCCCATCCAATGCGGGGTAGCAGACTCGACGTAGAAGCATACCGTAGCCAGAAAACGTCTTTGAGATTCGTGCGTTGGCTTCATCTGACACACTGACGTCAAAGATAAGTCAACTTCCGAAATACGCAGCCTAAAGGCATACACAAAGACTGTACGTCCTGTAGCATAACTTTGGAGCGCGAAGCACATGCCGGAGGACTGGATGGCCTGGGTCAGCTTGCCCTTCCTGCTCTCATCACACACCTGTCCCCCGCCACATCCGAGTGGCCTGCGTACGATGAGACAATAGTGCTTTGTAAGCTACAGATATCAGGTTGACGTTTCAGTGTTTTTTTTAGATTGCTCGTTTACCCCTCTTAAGATTGTTCTGACAGGCATTCCATTCTGAGATTATCAGTTCTTCGTCCCACACTGTAAGTAGTGCCATTAAACTGACCATCAAAGCGTTATCACTTTCCTTGAAAAGTGCATGGACAGGCACCTTATCGTATTTAGAGGCAACTTCGCGAGTTACTTCTTCTGTTGGAGGAGTGATATCCTTCCCCGGTCTTTCCCATGAGCTGCTACCAGAAAAAGGTTTGAGGTTGGCCAAACAATGTTTCTTTCTGAAGTAACCATAACTTGTAACTGACTTATCGCTCCCCAAGGTCGCTCGAAATATATATATATATATATATATATATATATACATATATACGACGTTGCTCTCACTGTAATTCGCCTTTGGTTGAGGCAGTAAAAGCCCTCTTCTGAAGGTCTGGTCTTCTTCTCTGCCTGCGCTAGGAGTGGTTGGGCTCGCGTCATAGCTGGGGAGTTGTGCGCTCGTTCTCAGGTCGCGCATATCCGTTGATCGTACCCGATTCCGATACATATCAAACTCCTCGACGTCGACAAGATAAACAAGCAAATCATCCAAGAATCAGTTGGAGCTCCCTCTAACACCAAACCAATTCACAAATGGAATTTTGTCAATGCTCCTTCCTTTTGAAGAAAGTCTATTGGGAGAATGTTAAGTCGGTGTTTTTGCGTATAACTTCACTGACAGTCGGCTTCTGATCATCCTTCAGAATCAAGGGACAAACGGGACGGACAGCTATATGCGAGTAGGCTATCACGTGATTAAAAACAGGCTCAGAACTCAAAAAGGAATGTCTTGATTGATGTGAGAGATTACGAAGTGCCGGTTGTTGGTACAATGCGTCTTCTGGGACGTGACCACCTCCTGCGCTTGGCTTAAGACATTACAGCGGCGTTTGCGTTGTCAGTTTATTTCCAGATTGTCTGACTCAGCACTTGGGAGTTCAGGGACCTTAGAATGCTGCGATAGGCCGGCAGCAGGCCCCATCCCTCACCAGCTCTTTTGCATTCGAAGGCTTCAAATGTAATTAGACTTTGTGGTTGTTCGGCAATGAAGCGTCAGTGTCAACAGTGATTTTGCCGTCTTTAACGATGAAGAGTTTTGGAGGGCTGCTATTCGTCAGTGACTGATTGGCACACACCAGCTGCACCCACTGATTTGTTTGGTACGCGCTAGGTTATGTTATATGGGAGCTTATGTTGTGAATTCATGCTGGTCAGCAACATATTGTCAGCGTGTTGCTCCCCACTATCTGCGATTCGACCGGGTTAAAAAAGCTCAGTCCTAAGGGCCGCATATTTCGATCGCCCAACGGTTGACCGTGACTGCTAGCGAATTATTCAATACGGTCGAAATACCTTTAAGACCAGAGTCTGGTGTTGCTCAAGTCATCTGCTGTGCGCAGCTGCACGAGGAGTGAGACAATAATGCTCTACTCCTTGTGCTCTCGGGTTAGGCCAACCCCCTGTAGCCGAGCAGGTCAGACAATCGAGTCATCGGCCTCGGACAGGGTCCCCTACTATTCGCTGCCTCGTGGGTCAGAACCTCTAGTCAGAGGCTAGAGACAGGGTCCCCGAACAAAGCCCTACATCCTCCTAATACCTTGTGAGTCAGACTTATGAGTCAAAGGCTCGAGGTGGGGCATCTCAATTAAACCCCCTTCCTCGGCCTGGGCAACCGAGAAGTATCATTTGCCCGCAGCTGTATCCACCGATGATTATGTGACTTCTTTGGAGCAATATTCTGATTCACTTTAGAGCAGCGTGGTGGATGCGCGAGTGGTTGGATGGCTGATAAGCGACCTGTAAAACGTTTAACGCTCAACACGGTATGCCCCAAAAGTTTGTAAACATAATCCGATCCCTATATTCACATACTTCTGGGCGGGTGGGGGTGTATGATGAGCTCACCAAAAGCTTCACTACAAAAAGTGATGTCAGACAAGGATGTCCACTCTCCCCATTCTTGTTCAACTTCGTCATCGATGAAATAATGAGGCGAACACTGGATGGTTTCCAAAA